CAGCACAGCGCCCGGGCCAGGCCTCGGGGGACAGGGGGACGGGCGCTCCGCGCAGGAGGAGGCTCAGGACGGAGTCCAGGGCCCAGGCTTGCGCTCAGGTCTCAGCGGGGCACAGAGTCTGGGGGGCAGCTCCCTGGTGGGGACTCCCCATCACCCTGGTTTCACTTTTCCTCTCCCAATCTGTGTCGTCGCCTCATTTCTGGATACTCGTGATGCTTCAACAGCTGTCACTCGCATTGGCTGGGCGGTTTCTACTGCAGCCAATCAGCGTCCCCGCGGCTCCCAGTTATAAGTCCTCCGCGGAAGCGCCCGGACTCAGACGCTCCCCAAACTGCCAGGATGCGGGTGCAGAGGCCCCCCACCCTCCTCCTGCTGCTCTCGGGGGCGCTGGTCCTGACCCCCAGCGGGGCCGGTGAGTGCGGGGTCGGAGGGGGCGGCTGTGCGGGGAGGAGCGAGGGGACCCGGCGGGGGCGCGGGTCCGGGAAGGCGCGTGTCCAGAATCCAGCCCTGCCCTCCGTCCGCCCCCCAGGCCCCCACTCCCTGAGATATTTCTACACCATCGTGTCCCGGCCCGGCCGCGGGGAGCCCCGCTTCCTCACCGTCGGCTACGTGGACGACACGCAGTTCGTGCGGTTCGACAGCGACGCGGCGAGTGGGAGGATGGAGCCGCGGGCGCCGTGGATGCAGCAGCCGTGGGTGGAGCAGGAGGACCCGGGGTATTGGGACCGGGAGACGCAGAGGGTCAAGGAAACCGCACAGACTTTCCGAGTGAACCTGCAGACCCTGCGCGGCTACTACAACCAGAGCGAGGACGGTGAGCCGCGCGCCGGGCCCCGCACGACCCCCCTCCCCACGGACGGGCCGGGGTCGCCCCGAGGGTCCGGGTCCGAGCGTCACCCCGAGGCGGCGGGACCCTCCCGGCCCCCCACCCCCGGGAGGAGCCCGCGGGGACTGTGACCCGATTTCACTTTCAGTTTTAGATTCAGTCCCCGCGGGGCGGGCGGGGCGGGCTGACCTCGGGGCGGGCTGACCTCGGGGCGGGGTCAGGGTCTCACACCATCCAGGAGATGTATGGCTGCGAGGTGGGACCGGACTGGCGCCTCCTCCGCGGGTACAAGCAATACGCCTACGATGGCACCGACTACATCGCCCTGAACGAGGACCTGACCTCCTGGACCGCGGCCGACATGGCGGCTCAGATCACAAAGAGCAAGTGGGAGGCTGAGGGTGTGGCCAAGCTTTACAGGAGTTACCTGGAGGGCCTGTGTGTGGACTCACTGCGCATGTACCTGGACAAGGGGAAGGAGACCCTGCTGCGCGCAGGTACCAGGGGCCCTGGGGCCGCCCCCTCTGCCCGGGGCTGGGGCTCCTACAAGGAGACAGGACAGGGGGTCAGTGTCAGACACCCCTCCTTCGGTTCAGGGAGGGGGAGGGCCCTGAATGTCCAGGTTGGGTACAGAGGGCCTGGCCCCCCTCTCAGGGACAGTGAGGAAGTGGGCTCCCCTGGGGAGCAGGGAGACTCCCCTGAAATAGCCAATCAGATGTTCCTAAGGGGACCTTCTCTCTCAGGCCTTGTGCCCAGCCCCACACCCCTGTGTCTGAGGCCTCACCCCAGCTTTTCTGAGTCACCTGGCCTCCACCCACGTCCTATTTCTCTCTCAGAGACCTGCCTCCTGTCCTGGGTGGTATCTCTCTGATTCTAGAACTTTCTAAAGACTAGGAGGTCCTTCCAGGTGCCTCTGTCCAGGCTGGTGTGTGTGCTGTGTGCTCCCTCCACACCCAGATGTCTCTCCACTCTCAGGATGGTCACATGGGTGCTGCTGGAATGTCCCATGGAGGATGCAAAGGTCCTGCATTTTCTCCCCTCCCCTCAGACCCTCCAAAGGCACACGTGAGCCACCACCCCGTGTCTGCCAGTGAGGTCACCCTGAGGTGCTGGGCGCTGGGCTTCTACCCTGCAGACATCAGCCTGACCTGGCAGCGTGACGGGGAGGACCAGACCCAGGACATGGAGATGGTGGAGACCAGGCCTGCGGGGGACGGCACCTTCCAGAAGTGGGCGGCCGTGGGGGTGCCCCCTGGAGAGGAGCACAGATACACGTGCCATGTGCAGCACGAGGGGCTGACCAAGCCCCTGACCCTGAAATGGGGTGAGGAGGGCCGTGGGCACACAGCCTCTTCTCAGGGCAGCAGGGCCCTGGAGGACCTCAGTGGGGTGGGGGCTGAGGCCTGGAGTCAAGGCCCTCACCCTCCTTCCCTTCTCCTCCCAGAGCCTCCTCCTCACACCTTCATCTTCATCATCCTGGGCATCGCTGGGGGCCTGGTCCTGCTGGGAGCTGTGGCTGGAGCTGTGATGTGGGGAAGGAGGCGCTCAGGTGGGCAGGGGTGGGTCTGAGTGTCTGTCCCACTGGGGGTTCAAGCCCAGGTAGACATGTGTCCCACCTCATTCACAGGAAGCACCATCCGCATATGTGTGGTGGACAGTGTGGGGCTCTGTGCTCACACTGACTCTGTAGTGAGGCCCGAGGGAAATGAGGGGCCCACTTCTCACCTGATGATGCTAGTGGTTGGGACCCGGTTCCCAGCAGCTTCAGGTCAGAGGGCAGGTCCCTGCTGAGCACAGACCTCCAGGAGTGCGTTGGGCCCAGTCCCCATACCTGTGATTCAATCATGTGTCCAGGTCCTGCCCTGAGTCTGTGCACACAGTTCTGGAAACTTCTCTGGGACCAGGACTAGGGCTTCCATGGCTCTGCCTCCTCCTTGGTTTCTCATGAGGTGTTTTCTTCCCGCAGGTGGAAAAGGAGGGAGCTACGCTCAGGCTGCCAGTGAGTATGGAGGGGTGACCCCTGAGACACTGTGGCAGTGCACATGGGAGCCATGGGGGATCGCACACCCATAATTCTTCTTAGTCTCCTACCCTGGGGCTCTGACCCCATCCTGGTTTGTCCCTTTCAGACAGTGACAGTGCCCAGGGCTCTGATGTGTCTCTCTCGGCTTCTAAAGGTGAGACCTGCCATGGGGAGAGGTGGGCAGAGGGGGGGCGGCTGGGTGGCAGGAAGTCTGTGGGACACTGTGAGCATGAAGTGGGTTTGAGAATGTCACCAGTCACAGCCACTGTCCTGAACCTGCTCATGATGATTGTCCTCCACAGCGTGAGGCCACTGCCTTGTGGGGACTGAGTGATGGAAGGTGTGTTCCCGCTCCTACTTCCTGACTCAGGATCCTCTGATGGGGGACTGGCCCCTCCCTGCCCTCCACACTCTCCTGTCAGCAGAGGCGGCTGGGCCCTCCCCATCCCCATTCCTGCCTTTCCTCCCTGGTGCACTGAGCTGCCACTTCCTGCTGGATTGAAATGAGATGCTGATGTGACTGTTTGTTCATTTCTTGCCAAGGTGCCTTGGGGGTTAATTAAAGGGGAAGCTCCTAAATTCTGAGGGGAAATAAATTGAAGCTCCAAGAACTTTCCAGGTCCCTTGTGTTTGCTGTAGTGAACCGGTCACAGGCGGGATGGGAGGGGCTGGGAGGATGGGGCGTGGTCGGGCCTGGGCCTGGTCATTGCTCAGTGCATTGTGGGCTTTGACATGGTCACTCCTTGGCTGGGTCACCTCTCTGCTCCTCTGATCTTGTCCCTCAGGGGAACCCTGTCCCACCAGGGCCTGTGGTCACAGGGACTCCCCTCCCCCAGGCCTTGTCACGTGTCCTAAAGCAGCGCATCTCCAGGAGCCTGGACAGCGAGCCTTCCTGGGGCAGGTCAGCCTGGGCTCAGGCCTGGGCCCGCCCTCCACCCTCCTCTCCTGGGTGTTTATTTCTTTGCTTTGGTGGGTGTTATGCCTGTGCCTGTTCTTGGATGTGAGTTCTGGCCTCACTCTCTGGGTGTCCCCGTGTGACAGGGCTGGAATGTGGGGAGTGCTGTGCAGAGGGGTCCGCTGTGGGGTCTGGGGGGGGGGGGGGGGGGAAGATGGCTGTTTTGTTTGTTGTCCTCATCTGAGGATATTGTTCCATTGACATTTAAGGGGAGAGGAGAGGGAGGGGAGAGGCAGAGGCAGACACACATCCATGTAGGAGAGAGGCATCTATCTCCAGCACGGGGATCATGGAGCCTGCACCGAGGTACATGCCCTTGACCGGAATTCCACCTGTGACCTTCAATCCCAGGGCTGCTCTCACCACTGAGCAAAGTGGTTGGGAGAGGAGGTCATTGCAGTGTGGGTGGTCAGCAGGGGCCTCGTTGGGAAGGGGACTTCTTTAGCCCTAGCCTGTTTGTTTCAGTGGCTAGCAGGTTTGGTTCAGTTGGCCTGCAGACTGAAGTGTCCCAGGTTCGATTCTGGTCAAGGGCATGTACCTTGGTTGGGGGTACATCCCCAATAGGAGGTGTGCGGGAGGCAGCTGGTCGATGTTTTTTTCTCATCGATGTTTCTAACGCCATCCCTCTCCCTTTTTCTCTGTAAAAAATCGATAAAATTTTACTTTTAAAAATCTAACTTGAGACCGTAGAACTAATAGTGCCACGTTGGGTGGATGTTTGCTGTCCTAATAACGATGGTATCTGAAACCCATGGACCCCTTGTTGAGTCCATGGGGCATACACTCAACACTCCATCAGAAGTTGACATAGGCCGAGACCGGTTTGGCTCAATGGATAGAGCGTCGGCTTGGGAAATGAAGGGTCCCGGGTTCGATTTCGGTCAAGGGCATGTACCTTGGTTTCGGGCATATCCCCAGTAGGGGGTGTGCAAGAGGCAGCTGATGACTCTCTCTCATCGATGTTTTTAACTCTCTATCTCTCTCCCTTTCTCTCTGTATAAAATCCATAAAATATATTTTTAAAAAAACAAACAAACAAAGAAGTTGACATAGTGTAGAACTGTATGCCTGCGCCCTGGTGTCAGTGCATGTCATAGCTACCAGTCAAGCGGACTCAGGAATGCAGACAACAGTGCAATGATTGCCAAAGGGAAGGGGGTTAGGGGAGTAAAGGGGACAGACACTCAACACTCCATCAGAAGTGTCTGAGGGTTGTGGTCCCCTCAAACCCACGATCCCGCGTTCGAAGACATCCATGAAGACGGTGAAGGCATGCTTTTCAAAGTGTGTATCCCTTTAATGTGTCTGTTCTTCTAAGCATTACCAGGTGGGGTGGGAATTTCAGGGATGGGGGATTGAGGTCTCGGGCACAGACGGCAGGGCCCCGCTGACTCACACACCACAGTGACTTGGCTAGAACACTGTGGAGGAGCAGCTAGGAGCTCCCAGCGCCCACCACCACGGTGGTCAGTTTGCAGGACTGGATGTGCCCAGAGGAGATGATGCCCGGGTGCTCCCTGTCAGACGAACACACCTTTCAGCATCAGCTCATCTCTGTCCCAAGGTTTAGTGCAAATGGTCAGTTGGAGGTTCTTCTCTTCCACAGCCCTCAACAGGTTCTGCGTTTCCTCGTCAGATGCATCTTTGTCCAGCCTGGGGAGATAGACATCGTTGCCCTCTCTGCGCCCCAATGCCTCTCTCCCCTAGACTTGCACGGAAGGTGAGAAGTGGAGCCAGACTCATGGACACAGAGCATAGACTGACAGCTGTCAGAAGGGAGTAGGTTGGGGGCTGAGTGAGAAGGGTGAAGGGATTAAGCAAAGAAAAAAAGAAAGACTCCTGGACTCAGACAACAGTGTGATGATCGCCGGAGGGAAGGGGGTTATGGAAGTAAAGGGGAAATAAATGGTGATGGAAGGAGACTTGACTTGGGGTATTAGCAAACACAGTATCTATATGTATAAAAGCCAAACAGGTGAGAGCCTAAGTGCTACTCTTGACTGAGGAACAGATGTCTGGGTGAAGACTCTGCTCAGCTGTCTACTGAACCCTCCTATCTCTGAGCCGGATTGCATCATTTGGGGGAAAGTAAATAGAAGACACTGTGTCTAGCAAAAAAAGTGCTTCTCGTCCTGACTGTTGTGGCTCAGTGGATAGAGTGTTGGCCTGCACACTGAAGAATCCCAGGTTCGATTCTGGTCAAGAACATGTACCTTGGTTGCATGCACATCCCCACTAGGAGGAGTGTAGGAGGTGGCTGATTGATGTTTCTGACTCTATCCCTCTCCCTTCCTCTCTGTAAGACATCAAAGTGCTTCTCACCTGGGGCAATTCTGCTCTGAGGGAACATCTGCCAATGTCTGGAGACATTTTTTTAAATTTCAGGGAATGGCCAAAATCGGTTTGGTTCAAGGGCATGTACCTTGGTTACGGGCACATCCCCGGTGGGGGTGTGCAAGAGGCAGCTGGTCGATGATTCTCTCTCATCAATGTTTCTATCTCTCTATCTCTCTCTCTTCCTCTCTGTAAAAAATCAATAAAATATATTAAAAAATAATAATAAATAAATAAATAAATAAATTTCAGGGAATGGAGGGGACAGCCAGTCTTTTTTCAAATTAATCCATTTTTGTTGAAATGTGATTGACACATAACACTGTACAGGTATAAGGTATGTAACGGGTTGGTTCAGTATATCTGTGTACTGCAATATGATAATCGCCATCACATCATATAGTTATAATTTTTCTTGGTGAGAACAAATAAGATCTAGTGTCTTGCCCTGGCTGGTTTAGCTCAGTGGATAGAGCATCGTCCTGTGGACTGAAGAGTGCGAGGTCCATTTCTGCTCAGGGCACATGCCCAGGATGTGGGCTCCATTCCCAGTGGGGGGCGTGCAGGAGGCAACTGTTCAATTATTCTCTCTCATCATGGATGTTCTTCTCTCTCTCCCTCTCCCTTGCTCTCTGAAATCAATAAGAATTTAAAAATGGGAACATCAAAGTTGCTAAGAGAATAGATCTTTTTAAAAAGTACTTTTTTTATTGATTTCAGAGAAGAAGAAGAAGAAGAAGAAGAAGAAGAAGAAGAAGAAGAAGAAGAAGAAAGAGAGAGAGAGAGAGAGAGAGAGAGAGGAAAGAGAGAGAGAGAGAGAAACATCTATGATGAGAGAGAATAATGGATCAGCTGACTCCAGCACGTCTCCCACTGGGGATCGAGCCCAAATCCTGGGCATGTGCCTTGACCAGAATGGAACTGTGACCTTTAGGTTCAAAGGTCAACGCTCAACCATTGAGCCATACAGGCTGGGTTGATCCTCACGACAGGAGGGAGGTGCTAGGAGCGTGTGACGTGCAGGTAGACATCGGGGAAGCTGCTCAGCATCTGCGCTGCAGGCCAGAGCTCTGCAGCCCCAGGTCCACTGCACCAGGCTCAGCAGCCCTGCCCAGAGCCCGGCGTCTCCCTGGGGTCACCCTCCACCAGGACAGGCGCCCGCTCACCCCAGCAGCTGCAGGGCACAGTCCTGGTGGCCCAGGGCTTCACACAGCGCCGCCATGCCATCGCGGTCCAGGCTGTTCCATTCCAGGTTGAGGCCCCGCAGGGACTTGCAGATGGTGAGGGCCGAGGCCAGGTCCTCACAGCAGGCAGCGGTGAGCTCACACAGCTCCAGCCTGCCACAGAGAAGCACACCAGGGGGACCGCCCACTCTGGCTGGGCTGCGAGGCACACTATCACAAAACACCCCTTCCACGCATCTGAGCAGGAGACTTGGTGGTCTCGACCAGTGGTTCTCAACGGGGGCCCCTGTGTCCCCTGGGGGACATGTGGCAATGTCAGGAGACATTCAACACACCGGGGGATGCTACTGGCAGCTGGTGGGTAGAAAGAAGCCAGGCCCAGACTGGTGTGGCTCAGTGTATAGAGCGTTGGCCTGCGGACTGAAGGGTCCCAGGTTTGGTTCTGGTCAAGGGAATGTACCTTGGTTGGGGGGCACATCTCCAGTGGGGTGTGTGCAGGAGGCAGCTGGTCGATGTTTCTAACTCTCTGGCCCTCTCCCTTCCTCTCAGTAAAAAAAAATCAACTATATATATATATATATATATATATATATTTTTTTTTTTTTTTTTTAAAGGAAGAAGCCAGGGTCGCAGCCTAACATCCTACAGTGCACAGGACAGTCCCCTCTCCCCGTCACAACACAGAGTGATCTAGTCCCAAACGTCACCACGCAGTGCCCAGACCGGGAGCCCCTGGTCACCCAGGACAGCATTTTACTTGGTTCGGGACCCTTCCGTGCTGGGAATCCCCAGCTCTTCCTCTTCTTGAAACGGGAAGCTTACCCACAAAGACCGTCAGCACACACTCACCCGAGATTCTCCAGTTTACAGTTAGGGTGCCTCAACGCCCCACATAACTGTCTGACACCCGCATCTTGTATTTTGTCCCCTAGCTTCAAAGTCCTCAGGTTTCCGTTGCTGATAAGAACCCCAGAGAAGTCCTCACAGCAGCCAGGAGTGAGGTAACATCCCGCCAACCTGGGAGACACACACAGACACAATCAGGAGTCCAGTCTCTATCGCCTCAGCTTGCTTTCACTTCCTGCTATGAAGGATGAAATGCCTGAGTGCTTCTGAGTTGATGATGGTGATGGCGATGACAGTGATGATACAGGAGATGGTGATGGCGGTGACAGTGATGATGGTAGAGGTGATTTGGAAGTGGTGATGGTGATGCTGGAGATGATTGGTGGTGGTGATGATGGAGGTGGTGGTGATGATGGTGAAAACAAATAAGATCTATTCTCTTGCCCTAGCTCGAGTAATAAAGGTGAAGGGATTAAGCAAAAAAAAGAGACTCATGGACACAGACAACAGTGTGGTGATTGAGAAGGGTGAAGAGATTAAGCATGACCGCCATATGCTGGAGGCAGTGATGAAGATGGTGGTAATGATGGTGATAATAGCAATCATGGTGGTGATAAGGATGATGGTGATGATGGTGGTGATGGTGGTGATAATAGTGATAATGCTGGTGGTGATGATTATAATAGTGATGATGCTGGAGATGCTGGTAGAGATTATGGTGATGGTGGTAGTAATGATGGTGGTCATGGTGGTTGTGATGATAATGATTGTGATGATGATAATGATAATGATAGTGACAGTGGTGGTGATGGTAGTGGTGATAATAGTGGTGATGTTGATGAAGGTTAGGTGATAGTGATAGTGATAATGGTCACGGTGGTCGTGGTGATGGTGATGATGATTGTGGTGACGATAATGATAATGATGGTGACAGTGGTGGTGATGGTAGTGGTGATCATAGTGGTAATGAAGGAGATGAAGGTTAGGTGATGGTGATAGTGATAAAAGTCACGGTGGTCATGGTGATGGTGATGATGGTGATGGTGATTGTGGTGATGATAAAGATCCTACAACTTCTCAGTTCCACTTCACCAGCCCAGTTACTCTGTGCTCCCTGCCATTCTCCTGCCCTCATGGCCTCTGTGCCCGGCCCTGCTCTCAGTGCGCTCACTGGTGGGAATGCTTTGGGCTCCCATACCAGCAGGGCTCTCCTCACGCCCTCCACATCTCTCCACGGCTGTCACCTGTTGGTGAGGACGGCCCCGAATATGTGCCTAGTATCATGTCCCAGTCTCTTCTCTACATGCTTCCGCACAGTATTCATCACCTAACACATGTGTGTCTGTATGTACATGCATGCATACATGTGTGCATGGCTCTGACATGTATATGTACATGTGTCTATGGGCATGCTTATATAGGCACACGTGTATGCATATATGTGTAATATATCTGGTATGTGTATGTGTGTATTGCTGTGTGTACGCTTATCTGTGGTTCTCAAGCAGAGATGATTTCTGCTCATGCCCCTCACAGGGGACATTGGGCAATGCCTGGGGACATTTTTGGTGGCCACACTAGGACACAAGGTGCTACCGACATGCCTGTTCCGTTAAAACAGCCTTCACAGCACAGAACAGCACTCCCATGACCAAGAATGATCTGGGCCAGATGTCAACCATGCCGAGACTGGGAAACCACCTTATATACACAAATACACAATTACCTGCAGCCTCACACTCACGTGTGTGTGTGTGTGTGTGTGGGTGGGTGTGGGTGTATGAAATTCCATCTAATCGACTTCCACAGAAACAAGGTTGTTGAAGCGTTCCGGGTACCACGTTCTGCCTCTCCCCACAGCAGGAACGAATGCCCCACGAGGCGCCTCGTGCCGTTATCCATCCAGCGCTGGTCACCCGCACAGCATCGGCAATGTTTCTGTATGTGGGTCATCCCCACGCGGGGCCTCGTGCAGGTGGGCGGTACCCTCACCCTCGGGGAGAGGAGCGCCCCCACACGCTCACCCGGCTAGTCTAGGGCACAGAGGACCCGGCACCGAACTACAGAGGAGCGTGTCCCACCATCCCAGGCGCCCTTTCATTAAGACGCATGCGCATCAACGCACACCTGGCCTTCCTGGAAGCACCAGGCGGGTCAGCACTTAGCCTCCTGGGTTTTTTCCCAGCAGGCCCCGCGCTTTCCCTCCTTCCTGTGTCCTTCACAGGGCAGGGCGCCAGCATCAAGCCCGCCTGACGTCCGCGTCCCTGCAGCCAGACCTACCACAGCTGCTGTAGGCGGCAGCCTGGCTGCCCCAGCGCTTCACAGAGCAGCTTCACTCCGCGGTCCTCCAGGAAATTGGAGCTCAGGTCGAGGAGGGACAGAGTGGAGCTCCGCACGAGGGCTTGGGCGAGGTAGTCACAGGCGTTGAAGGTGATGCAGCAGTACGTCAGCCTGCAGAGACACACGCACATGCGCACACGCATGGTCAGCCTGCGAACGCTGCACGCGGTAACAGTTTCCTGAAGGCACGTGCGAAAGCCTTGCCATCCCTCCCACCCAGCGCTCACCGAGTACAAACAAGAGGATTAGAATGTGTACAAGCCCCAACCGGTTTGGCTCAGTGGATGGAGCGTAGGCTTGTGGCCTGAAAGGTCCCAGGTTCGATTCCAGCCACATGCCCAGTACGGAGTGTGCAGCAGGAGGCAGCTGATAGATGACTCTCTCTCATTGATGTTTCTAACTCCCTCTCCCTCTCCCTTCCTCTCTGTAAAAAAGATAAATAAAATATATATTTAAAAATAAATAAAAATAAACATAAAATGTGTGGCAGGTGCCCTGGCTGGTGTGGCTCCGTTGGTGGGAGCGCTGTCCCATCCAGCAAAAGGGCGCAGGTTCTATTCTTTTTTTTAAAAATATATTTTATTGACGTTTTTACAGAGAGGAAGGGAGAGGGATAGAGAGTTAGAAACATCGATGGGAGAGAAATCTACTGGGGATGTGCCCGCAACCAAGGTGCATGCCCTTGACCGGAATCGAACCCGGGACCCTTCAGTCCGCAGGCTGACGCTCTATCCACTGAGCCAAACTGGCCAGGGCCGCAAGTTTGATTCTTGGTCAGGACACATACAACAGTCAACCAACCAGTGTATGCATCAGTAAGTGGGATAACAAACAGATATCTCTGTCTCTCTCTCTTTCTCTCCAAAAAATTAATTGAATAGCTTGGCTTTGATGTTTACTATCCCTAGAATTTTTTTTACTGTTGAATTTCACAGTCTAAAAAGTCATCTCACCCCTGGCCAGTCTGGCTCAGTGAATAGAGCATCGGCCTGTGGACTAAAGGGTCCCGGATTCAATTCCAGTCAAGGGCATGAACTTCGGTTGCAAGCTCAATTCCTGGCACTTGTCAGGAGGCAAGCAATTGGTGTGTCTCTCCCACATTGATGTCTCTCTCCTCTCTTCCACTCTGTAATTATCAGTCAATAAAATTCATTTAAAGTAAGTAATTAAAAGTCATCTCAGTAACAGTATTCCAGTCCTCCTGTATATTAAATGCCACTGTGTGTGCAATGCATGTATCTGTACACACCTGCATGCCTGTACACACACACACACACACACACACACAAATAAAAGTTGGGTGTGTTTTTACCCTCACCTCACCTGAGGATGTGTTTATTGATTGGGGTGGGGGAGGAGGAGGAGAAAGAGAGAGGCATCGATGTGAGAGAGAAACATCCACCGGTTGCCTCCGGTAGGTGCACTGAATGAGGGGATGGAAGTGCACCCCGGGTGTGTGCCCTGACCGGAATCGAACCTGCAACCTTTTGGTTCAAACCAACCAACGGAGCCACCAGCCGAGGCAAAGAGAAGGCCCGCTTCTGGAGGCCGCTCTGCTGCCATAGGTGTGACTGCCCCAGGCAGCCCCGAGTTTTCCTGATTGAACCCCTTTTCCTGTGGCCCTGCTGCCCTCCGGCCCAGCGCCAGAGGGAGCCGTCCCCTCAACAACAGGGCCTGCGAAGCCCTGCTCCTGAGAGGAATCCAACAAACACCTTTTCATTCTGTTTTGCTGCCGCTCTATCCACTGAGCCAAGTCGGCTAGGGCTCTTTTTTTTCTTCTTTTTTTTAAATATTCTGTCAACATTTATTTGATAATGGCCCCGGCTCCGCCCCTGCCCCGCCCCTACTCAATCGCCAGCCCCTTGTCTCCAATCTCCCATCCTGGGTCTCCACAGACAACTGGTCACCCCGATCCAGCCTCTGGAGACCAAGTCCGGGCCAGGCCCTCTGGGACCAGAGCACCAGGCAGCCTCTGTCCCGGGACCCCCGGCGCCGGCAGTTTGGGGGCGCGGACACCGCGCTCCTCCGAGGGGGAGGAAGAAATGGGGTGGTGGGCCAATCCCGCCCTCGGCCCCCCCGGGGAAAGGGGCCTTCTCCGCCGCCCCCACGCCAAATCCCTGTCCCAGCCCGGTTCCCCCAGGCCCGCGGGGTTCCGGAGAGGAGGCCAGGATCGATCCGAGCCGGCGCGTAAAGGAAGGCGCGGACACCGCGCCGCAGGCGGCCACGCGCGCAGTCCCCCCGCCTTTCCTCCCTCCCTGGGCTGCAGCCCCTGCACCGGGCGGGGCCGTCCCGGGAGGAGCGGGGCCGGAGCCGGACAGACCCTGGTCCGGGCTGACTATCCACAGATGGCAGCAGGAGCCGCTCTGCCACCAACGGAGCCGCGGCCCAGAAGCAGGCCGCCTGGGAACGGGTCCCCCCCCCCCCCCCCCGGGGTCCCCAGGAATGGGAGGGGGCGGTCCCCTGGCGGCTCGGGGAGTGAAGACCTCCTCCCCACACACACCCCCTTTGCAGCCCTGGCCTCGCCCCCGCCCGGCTCCCAGATCCCTCCCCCACACCCCTCCCGGGGGAAGGGAAGAGCGCATCACGGGGGTGAGAGAGCCGCGCACACGGGGTCGGAGCGCTGGAGGGGAAGGGCCCCTTTTTCCTTTTCTTCTTTAAAATATATTTGTACAGCCCTGACCGGTTGGCTCAGTGGATAGAGCGTCGGCCTGTGGACTGAAAGGTCCCAGGTTTGATTCTGGTCAAGGGCTTGTACCTTGGTTGCGGGCACATCCCCAGTGCGGGGTGTGCAGGAGGCAGCTGATCGATGCTTCTCTCTCATCAATGTTTCTAGCTCTCTATCCCTCTCTCTTCCTCTCCGTGAAAAAAAAATCAATAAAATGTATTTTAAAAATAAAATAAAATGTATTTGTATTGATTTCAGAGAGGAAGAGAGAGAAAGAGGGAGAGAGAAACATCAATGATCTATTACATCCTATGGAGATCTTCAGTTTTGGGTCACAGCGTTAGGAGCTCCTGGTTCTATTTCTTTATTGGTCTCAGAGAGAAAGGGAAAAGGAGAGAGAGAAACATCCATGATGAGAGAGAATCATGGGTAGGCTGCCTCCTGCACGCTCCCCACTGGGGATGGAGCCCCAGCCTGGGCATGTGCCCTGACGGGGAATCGGGGAATCGAACCCAGACTCTTCAGTCGCTACGGAGGCTCTATCCTCTGGGCCACCCCAGCCAGGGCCGCTGGAGGAGCTGAGGGCGGGCAGAGGGAACCCTGGGCCGCCCAGACCCACTTACAGCAGCGACTCCAGCGCGCAGTCCGGCTGCTTGAGCCCCTCGCTGAGGAGCAGGGCGCCGCTGTTCATCACCGGGTTCTCCATCAGCGACAGCAGCCGCAGCCGCGGGCTGCCCGCCAGGAGCAGCGCCACGTCCTCGCACGCTTCGTCCGTGATGTCGCACTTGCCCAGCCTGCACCGGGGCGGGGGGGGGGGGGCAGGGGTGGACACGGGGAGCTGGGCTCATTGGCAAAGACAAACAGAACAGACCAGGGCGCGCCATAGGGGAGGGGCTCGGGGGCCGGTGGGAGGGGCAGGTATAAGCCCAGTCACAGGCACTGGCGGGAGTGGCTCAGTGGATAGCGCAACGTCAACCTGCGGAGTGAAGGGTCCCGGGTTCCATTCCCCTCAAGGGCACGTGCCTGGATTGCGGGCTCCATCCCCAGCAGGGGGTGTGCAGGAGGCAGCTGATCAGTGGTACTCTCTCTCATGGATGTTTCTCTCTCTTTCTCTCCCTCTCCCTTCCTCTCTGAAATCAGTAAGAATATAAAAAGTATATTAAAATAACATAATGACTGTGTGTGGTGCCAGGTGAGTACTAGGCTTGCTGGGAGATGGCTTTGTAAACTATATAAATGTCCAATCACTAGACAATACACCTGAAAGTAATATGTCATTGGATGGCAAGTATAATTGAAAAAATATTTTTTTTTAAGATTTCTCAATAGCCGAAACAGTGGATAGAGCGTTGGCCTATGGACTGAAGTGTCCCAGGTTCGATTCCAGCCAAGGGCATATGCCTTAGTTGTGGGCACATCCCCCGTGGGAGGTGTGCAGGAGGCAGCTGATCGATGCTTCTCTCTCACTGATGTTTCTGACTCTCTATCCCTCTCCCTTCCTTTCTGTACAAAAGCAATAAAATATATTTTTTTAAAAAAAAGAAAAGAAAAGAATGACTGTTGACATTTCTCTGCATCTGGAGATGTGGGGGTGGAGCCTGGGGGAGCATACTGCGGCCATGAGTGGGTGGAGGCCGGGGAGCCGCTCAGTAGCGCCCCCAACAGAGGATTAACTACCTGGCGCTCAATCTGATGAGCTGATTGCTTGTCCACAGCTCTGAGGCTGAGAAAACCCCTCTGAGCCCCAATGCGGTTAGCGAACCACCTCCAGGGCCTCTCCCGCAGACGGGCGGGAGTTCAGGTCCCCAGAGGGAACTCTGAGCGTCACAACCGTGTTGCTCCCCACGGCCGCTCCCCGGACTCACATGAGCTGTTGGATGCTGCACATGGGGTGCCTCAGCGTCTCGCTCAGCAGCGCCACCTCCTGGGCGGACAGGTCGGAGCCGTGCAGGTTGAGGTAGGTCAGGTGGGGGTTGTGAAGCAGCGCCTTAAAGAAGTCCGCGCTCTTTCCCACGTCGGAGGCGAAGTTGTACCTGCAGAGGGCGAGATGGGGAGCCAGGGGTGAGGGCCCAGCGCCCAGGGGTACCTCCTCCAGCTTCTCCTGCCTGTCCCGCTGGACCCTGGCTGCTGGGAGAAACCTGGTCCCTCCTGCCTGCAAATTCTTTCCTGGGGTCCCCCCGGATTGGGGTACGGGTCCTGACTGGGAACTGAACCCCAAACCTACGTATGTGTCCTGAGCAGAGGTTGAATTCAAAACCTGTGTATGTGCCTGGGAATTGAACCTGCAACCTAGGCCTGGTGCATGAATTCATGCGTGGGTTGGGGTCTGGCCACCTTGGATAGGGGGAGGGGACATGGGCGGTTGGCCGGCCTGCCTGATGGTTGAACTCCTAGTTGAGGGGACAATTTGCATATTAACCTTTTACTCTATAGGATAGACACTGAGTGGCCAGATGATTATGCGTTCAGAGATCATCATCATCTGGCCACTCAGTGTTTATAGACAAGATTGCATACTAACCATACTTACTTTTTTAAAAGATTTTTAAAATTATTTTTATTAGTTTTTTAGAGAGAGGAAGGGAGAGGGAGAGAGAGTCAGAAACATCGATGAGAGAGAAACATCGATCAGCTGCCTCCTGCACACCCTCTACTGGGGATGTGCCCCCAACCAAGGTACATGCCCTTGACCAGAATCGAACCGGGACCCTTCAGTCCGCAGGCTGACGCTCTATCCACCGAGCCAAACTGGCCAGAGCCATGCTTACTTTTTGAAAAGCCAGAATGGAGAGAATGCGTTTTGTCTCAGTGGATAGAGCGTCGGCCTGTGGACTGAAGGGTCCCAGATTCGATTCCGGTCAAGGACATGGACCTTGGTTGCGGGCACACTCCCAGTAGGGTGTGTGCGGGAGGCAGCTGATTGGTGTTTCTCTCTCATTAATGTTTCTAACTCCCTATCCCTCTCCCTTCCTCTCTGTGAAAAAAATCAATACAATATATATATTTTTTTAAAACCAGGTGGCGTCGCACTTACGCCAGCCTTTGGAGTCTGCAGGAGGGCTGCGCCAGTGTCTTCCAGAGGACTGCCTGGGCGGCCTCGTCCAAGTGACAGTCGTCCAAGTGCAGCGTCTGGAGGTCCGGGCAGTTGCTGAACACGTAGCACAGCTCCCGCCAGCAGGAGAGCTTCTGGTTGTAGCTGCGGGAGACACACACCGCGCCACGCCTGTGGCCACGCTCACCTCGGCCCGTCCTCGGAACAGGCAGGACTCCGCTCCTAGAGCCCTCCCCGCTGCCGGGCACCCGGCAGGTAAACTGAGTCAGCGTGGCTCAGGGAGAGCAGACCCGGGAGCCACAGCCATGGGATCAAATCCCATGGGAGCCGCCGGTGAGCTACGTGACCCGTGCCTGCGACTCAGTCTCATTCTGCCTTCTTCTCCTCCTCGTTGAAGAGAAAACACTTCTTTAAAAATACATATTTTATTGATTTTTTTTACAGAGAGGAAGAGAGAGGGATAGAGAGTCAGAAACATCGATGAGAAGCATCAATCAACTGCCTCTTGCACACACCCCCTACTGGGGATGCGCCCGCAACCAAGGTCCATGCCCTTGACCGGAATCGAACCTGACGCAGGCCGATGCTCCATCCACTGAGCCAAACCGGTTTTGGCTGAAGGGATAACACTTGATTTTTATGAGCAAAGGTTGATGCTGGGTGATCCATCAGTGAATGGGGAATCGATCCAAAAACGTGATCGGGCTGAAATCGGTCATGAAAATTGGCCCCTTGAAAGTTCCACCTACAGGGAGTTTGAGCACCACTTGCTATGACATGCACTGACCACCAGGAGGCGGCCGGGGACCAATGAAGGCCCTGAAGCCAGGCCTAGGGGACCTTACCCTTATGAATCTCTTGCATGGGGCCTCTAGTAAGAAAGAGAAAATCCATGCACACTGAGTGTCCCGATGGTGATGATCTCTGAGCACATAGCAATCCGGCCACTCGGTGTGTTAGTATCTCCAATGGGCATCAAAAGCATTCCAGATCACTGCTGGAGATCAACCAGTTATTTGCCCTGAGCTTTCTATCAGCCCGAGGGAAGGGGACAACTGATCAGGTGCAGGGTTTATAGTATCTTTGATATCACACAAACGAGGTGCTCAGGAGAAGGACACGGAGAGGCCAGATGAGTGTGCGTTCAGCGATCATCGCCATCTGGCCACTCTGCATGTCACTGCTGCTTTTTTGTTTGTTTGTTTTTTGTTTTGTTTTTTCTAAAATATATTTTTATTGATTTTGTACAGAGAGGAAAGGAGAGAGATAGAGAGTTAGAAACATCGATGAGAGAGAGTCATCGACCAGCTACCTCTTGCACACCCCCCACTGGGGATGTGCCCGCAACCAAGGTACATGCCCTTGACCGGAATCGAACCTGGGACCCTTCAGTCCCCAAGCCGACACTCTATCCATTGAGCCAAACAGGTCTCGGCTGTTACTGCTGTTTTTGTTTGTTTTTTAAACTCGATTTTATTGCTTTTTTAACAGAGAGGAAGGGAGAGGGATAAGGAGTTAGAAATATTGATGAGAGAGAAACATCGATCAGCTGCCTCCTGCACATCCCCCACTGGAGATGTGCCCCCAACCAAGGTACATGCCCTTGACAGGAATAGAACCTGGGACCCTTGAGTCCGCAGGCCGAGGCTCTTTCCTCTGAGCCAGACTGGTCAGGGCGGTTGCTGTTGTTTTTAATGAAATTCCCAGTGGGGAAGGCAGAAAGCCAGCCACAGAGGTGGATGAAGGGGGCGTGGGCGGGGGCGGGGCGGGGGGGGGGGGCGGGCACTCACTCTAACTGGCCTCTGAGGTCCTCGACCAGCACATCGCCCAAGCTCAGGCGGAGGACCCGCAGGTTGAGGGCGTGCGGGAAGCAGGCGGCGTAGACCAGCAGGTTGTCGGAGGAGTAGATGCACACGTCGATGTGACGGAACAAGCTCATCACCTCCGTGGCGAAGTCCGGGTCCTGCGCCTCCAGCACGCCGGGGCACAGCTCCTGGAAGCGGACGGGCAGCTCACCGCGCTCCGCCTGCTCGCTCAGGCCCCGCAGGCACGCGGCCACCTCCCCGCGCAGGCCCTCCGCCAGCGGGAACCCCCAGGCCTCCCAAAGCAGGCCGGCCATGCGCTCCGCGGTGAACCCGAACAGGAAGAGCGCCATCTGCGCCAGGTAGAAGGGCGCCTCGGTCATGGCCTTCGCCACCAGCTGCGCGGCGCTCCCGATGCGGGGGGGCCCCGGGTCCTGGGGGCGCCTGAGCAGGTACCACAGGGCCCCGCAGCACACCTGCACCAGCGGGTGCGGGAACACCCAGCGGCTCCTGTTCTGCCGCAGGAGCTGCATCCTCACCCAGGCCAGCGCGTGCATATCGGCCACCCCGTGCCGGCGCAGGTGCCACGAGCGGAACACGAACCTGCCGGCCCACGTGCCCTCGGCTGCCAGGGCGCACAGGCCCCGCAGCCGGCTCCGGGCGTGGCCTCGGGGCCAGCCGGCGCTCTGGGGCTGGAACGCGCTGAGCAGGAAGGAGGCGTAGAAGCTCGTGATGCTCTGCGTGTGCACGCAGAGCGGCCGGCGCCTCTGCAGCTGCTGCTTCAGGCTGGCGCACATCACCCAGCACGCCAGCGGATACTGGCACAGCGCGAACGCCGCCGGCGAGTCCTGCACCACGGCGAAGGCCTGCGCCGCCTGCTCCCCGTCCGCGAAGAAGCTGGAGAAGTAGCGCCACTTCTGGTGGCCTGAGAAGCCGGGCAGGTGCACCCACACTGGGTGGGGCAGCAGGTGGCGCAGCTTGCGGGAGCCCTCGGGGCCCAGTGACACGAGCAGTGACGCCTCGGGCAGCAGCGCGCGCTGCAGGAGGCTGCGCAGCACCGTGTGCACGGGCCGCGGCCGCTCCAGGTCGGTGCACACGTCCTCGTCCGTGTCCACGGCGAGTGTGAGCTCCTCCAGGCCGTCCACGATGAAGAGCACCTTCTCGGGCCGCGAGAAGACGTCGTGGACGGGATGGGAGGCCGCGGGCCAGTCGGCGGCCAGCAGGCCCGCCAGGCTGGTGTCGCGGAGGTCGTTGAGCTCGGCGCAGCTGATGAAGAAGACGAAGGTGAAGCGGCCCTGCCAGAGGCGGCCCGACGCCCACTGCAGCATCAGCCTCCGCAGCAGCGTGGTCTTGCCCCCGCCGTCCGTGCCCAGCAGGGCGGCGGTGACCGAGTGCTCGCCCGCCCTGTCCGCCGCGAACGCCGCGCTCAGCTGCTCGTGCTCCATCCGGGTGGACTCGGCATAGGTGTTCTCCGGCACCACCAGGCACGTCTCGTGCTTCCACAGGTCTGAGAACTTCCTCTCCATGTGTCTCTTGTACGGGTTGATCTTATCTGGGGTCAGAAGGGCATAAGACAAGGCAGTTTTACTTATTTTTTAATATATATTGTATATATCTCTCTTATTGATTCTTTCAAAAATAAATTTTATTGATTTGTGACAGAGAGGAAGGGAGTGGGATAGAGAGCTAGAAACATCGATGAGAGAGAATCATCGACTGATGACTCCTGCATACCCCCAACTGGGGATGTGCCCACAACCAAGGTACATGCCCTTGACCGGAATTGAACCTGGGACCCTTGAGTTCACAGGCCGACATTCTATCCACTGAGCCAAACTGGTTTCGGCTGTTGATTTTTTTATAGAGAGGAAGGGAGAGGGAAAAGGAGTTAGAAACATCTATCAGCCACCTCCTGTACACCTCCCACTGGGGATGTGCCCACAACCAAGGTACATGCCCTTGACCTGGGACCCTTCAGTCCACAGGCCAACGCTTTATCCACTGAGCTAAACCAGTTTTGGCTATTGATTTTTTAACAGAGAGGAAGGGAGAGAGAGTTAGAAACATCCATCAGCCGCCACCTGCACACCTCCCACTGGGGATGTGCCCGCAACCAAGGTACATGCCCTTGACCGGAATCGAACCTGGGACCCTTCCGTCCGCTTGCCGATGTCTATCCACTGAGCCAAACCGGTTTCTGCTAAATTTATTTTTTTATGTATATTTTTATTGATTTCAGGGAGGATTGGAGAGACAGAGAGAGCTAGAAAGAAAAATCCATGATGAGAGAGAATCATAGATCGGCTGCCTCCTGCACGCCCCCTATTGGGGATCGAGCCTGCAACCCAGGCATGTGCCCTTGCCTGGCATGGACCCCGGGACCATTCAGGCCGACGTTCCGCCCACTGAACCACACCGGCCAGGGCCACACTTACTTCTGATCTCGTCCTTGGCCTTGGCCCAGAGGTCCCTCCGGTTGACCTGCTGGAACAGCCGCAGGGCGATCTCCCAGGCCTGCTGGCCGGGGTAGTGGCCGCACAGCAGTGTGGCCAGGTCGTCTCTGGACGCCTTCTTCAGCTCGGGCCACGGGATCGGCGGGAGGTCAGACAGCACAGGCTCTTGCTTGAGGAGCTCCTTGAACTTCCAGAACTCATCCTTCTTCAGCTCCTTCAGGTACCACAGCAAGCAGACGTCGGAAAAAAAGGATTCAGCCATCGCATCCGAGGACAGTGAGCGCCGGCTCCTCCGGGGAGGGAAGTCTTCAAAAGCAAGACAAAAATAGGTGATTCCTGGGGAAGAACGAGGAGATGAGAGAGCTAGATCTCAGCCGTCAAAAATAGCTTTAGTCTATTATTTTTTTAAATATATGTTATTGAGTTTTTTACAGAGGGGAAGAGAGAGGGATAGAGAGTCAGAAACATCAGTGAGAGAGAATCATCGATCAGCTGCCTCCTGCACACCCCCTACTAGGAATGTGCCTGCAACCAAGGTACATGCCCTTGACCGAAATCAAACCCAGGACCCTTCAGTCTGCAGGCCAATGCTCTATCCACTGAGCCAAACCAGTTTCGGCACAGTTGACCCATCTTAAGAGTGTCTTAGGCTTTAATATACATAGATATCCAAGATTTGGAACCAACCCAAGTGCCCACTGATAGACGGTGGGATAATGAAGATGTGGTGCAGTTCGGTGGCATGGCTCAGTGGTTGAGCATTGACCTATGAACCAGGAGCTCACGGTTCGATTCCCAGTCAGGGCACATGCACAGGTTGTAGGCTCGATCCCCAGTGTGGGGAGTTCAAGAGGCAGCCGATCAATAATGCTTTATCATTGATGTTTCTATCTTTCTCCCTCTCCCTTCCTTTCTGACATCAATCAGTAAAAATATATTGGAAAAAAAGAAGATGTGATGCAGTCCTGGCCAGTTTGGCTCAGTAGACAGAGTGTCCGCCTACGGACTGAAGGGTTCCACGTTCGATTCCAGTCAAGGGCCCTGATAGGTCATAGGCTTGACCCTGGCACTGGTCGGGAGGCAACCAATTGACATGTCTCTCCCATCGATGTTTCTCCATCTCTCTCTGTCCCTTTCACTCTCTCTGAAAACCCATGAAAAAATATCCTCAGGTGAGGATTAATAAATTTAAAATAAAAAAGAAAACGTGGCCGAAACCGGTTTGGCTCAGTAGATAGAGCGCTGGCCTGTGGACTGAAAGGTCCCAGGTTCGATTCTGGTCAAGGGCATGTGCCTTGGTTGTGGGCACATCCCCAGTAGGGGGTGTGCAGGAGCAGTTGGTTGATGATTCTCATCGATGTTTCTAACTCTCTCTCCCTCTCCCTTCCTCTCTGTAAAAATCAATAAAATATATATTTAAAAATAAATAAAATAGGAAACTTCGTTTTATGGGTATTCTAACACAAGTTTAAAAAAAAAAAAAACTTGTGTCATAAAGCTTTTCTCTCGTTGCTCTCTCGCTGAAACCTCCTCTGAGCACAGTGTGCCTGTGCCCTGAAGCCCCTCCCATGCCGGCAGGTCAGGCCCCGCCCCCTGCACATGGCAGCGCCCAGACGTGGGCCCCCCACCCCCCAAAAAAACAAACACGCTAACTCTCATCACCGCCTGGGCACAGCCTGCCTCGGCCTCCCCAACTCACAGCACCTGACCCGCCTCTCTCCTTCCACCTCTGCGGCCAGCCCGGCCGGCATCGCCACAAATCCTCCACGTGTGGTTTAGGGCAGGGGTCGGCAAACTCATGAGTCCACAGAGCCAAATATCAACAGCACAACGATTGACATTTCTTTTGAGAGCCACATTGTTTACACTTAAACTTCTTCTCACGCCATTTCTTCCAAATAGACTCACCAGGCCGTGGTGTTTTGTGGAAGAGCCACCCTCAAGGGGCCAAAGAGCCGCCTGTGGCTCGTGAGCCGCAGTTTGCGGACCATGGGGTTTAGGGTAAATGAGGGCCACTAGAACTTCCAGATGGAGAAAGATGAGGTGCTGGAAGCCAATCAGAGGGCAGGTCTCACACGTAACCCTCCCCTTTGCCCTCCGCCCCTCCTTCCTGTAATCCGCCCGAAACCTGGTTTCCATCCCTCTTCCCAGGTTCCATGAATCTCACAATCACCACCGAGAGACTGACCAAGTCTAAGACTTTGACTTGGGGGATCTTCATTTCTCCTCAGTTCTGATACCCAAGCTGCTCCAACTCTGTCTCTGATTCCATTTTGTTTTAGTTCACTTGTTTTTTAAAATCTATTGATATGAGAGAGGGAGAGATCTGCCGCTCCACTTATTTATACATCCACCGGTTGCTTCTTGCCTGTGCCAGGAGAATCAACCCATCTCCTCGGTGTGTGGGGAGGATGCTCTCAGCACCTGAGCCGCCCCGCCCGGCCAGGCTCCGATCCATGGAGGAAACCTCAGTCCTGTCCTCCCCCTAGCTTAGCACCGGGAGCACGGAGGTCCCCAGGGAAGGGCTGGGTCTCTCTGGGAATATAAACGCTTTCCCCCCAGAGCATCCTTCCCACCATCAGGGGGCCGGACTGGGTTCTTTTGGGTGTGGGTACCTCATTCGTTATGCACAACGGACCTGCAGAAAGGAAAGAAAGAAAAAGAAAGAAAGAAGAAAAAGAAAGAAAGAAAGAAAGAAAGAAAGAAAGAAAGAAAGAAAGAAGAAAAGAGGAGAGAGAGAGAGAGAGAGAGAGAGAGAGAGAGAGAGAGAGAAGGGAGAGAGGGAGGAGAGAGAGAAGGGAGGAAGGGAGGGAGGGAGGGAGGGAGGAAGGAAGGAAGGAAGGAAGGAAGGAAGGAAGGAAGGAAGGAAGACATCCTCACCCAATCTGGCAGCTGGTCCTCCAGGCTGGTCCTCATCAGAGAGCATCTGTGGGCGCCAAGACTATAAGACCGTGCCTGCCCTCTGATTGGCTGTGGAGTCTCTCCCTCCCATTGGCCGGCGTGACTCTTGATTGATGAGGCGGAGGGTGATGGGAAACTACTGCGGCTTGTTTCAGGTGCGAAGGATCCTCCCCGCACATCCCCTGGCACTACCCATAGCCTCGCCCTGTCCGACCTCAGCAAGCTCTGGGCTTCAGCCAACTGTCCTCTCCCCCCGCCAATGGCGGCCACTCTGCCCATGACCTGAGCCCCTGCTTTCCCCACTCCCGCTTCCCAAGGAAGTTGTCTTTTATATATTGTATATATATATAATGGTTAATATGTATATATACCATATAACCATATATATGTATTAATCATATATATATATGGTTCTTTTGGGTGTTGGTACCTCATTCTTTATGCACAACGAACCTGCAGAAAGGAAAGAAAGAAAGAAAGAAAAAAAGAAAGAAAGAAAGAAGAAAGAGAAAAGAGTGAGAGAGAGAGAAAGGGAGAGAGAGAAAGAGGGAGAGAGAGAATACAAATATATATATATTTGTATTGATCTCAGACAGAAAGAGAGAGGAAGGAGGAGAAACATCAATGATGAGAGAGAATCGTGGATCGGCCGCCTCCTGCATGCCCTTTACTGGGGATGGAGCCCGCAACCCAGGCCTGTGCCCTGAATGGGAATCGAGCCATGACCTCCTGGTTCATAGGTGGATGCTCAACCCCTGAGCCACGCCGGTCAGTGAGAAGTTGTACATCTCCTAGCAGCACCCGGAACACAGCCTTGGTGCATGAGGAGGGTGTCAGTGACTCACTGCTAAGGACTATTCAGTGACTAGTCTTGGGTGAGGAGCTCTGGGTGGGAAGGGCAAAAGCTAGAATTTGCAAATGTCTCTTTAAAGAAAACACTATATATTTTATTGACTTTTTACAGAGAGGAAGGGAGAGGGATAGAGAGCTAGAAACATCGATGAGAGAGAAACATCCATCAGCTGCCTCTTGCACACCCCCTACCAGGGATGTGCCCACAACCAAGGTACATGCCCTTGACTGGAATTAAACCCGGGACCTTTCAGTGCGCAGGCTGACGCTCTATCCACTGAGCCAAATTGGTTTTGGCAATGTATGTCTCTCTCTCTCTCTCTCTCTCTCTCTCTCTCTCTCTCTCTCTCTCTCTCTCTCTCTCTCTCTCTCTCTCTCTCTCATGGATTGGCTGCCTCCTGTACACCCTCCTCCACTGGAAATCAAACCCGCAACTCAGGTCTGTGCCCTGGCCAGGAATCAAATGGTAACCTCCTGGTTCACAGGTGAACACTCAACCAATGAGCCATGGCCAGTGTGATTCAGTGGTTAGGGCATTGGTCCGAGCACAGATGGGTCTCAGGCTGGATTCCCAACCAAGGGCACATACCTGGGCTGCACCCAAAAGCAAGGGAGGCACTGCCAATCACCCCTCACGCTCCCAATTCCTCCTCCTCCTCTCCCTTTGATGGTGGTGGGGGGTGTCAATGACTTTTTTTAAAAGTTTTTTAATCATCACCCAAAGATATGTTTTTATTGATTTTTTAAAGAGAGAGGAAGAGACCTCTCTTCCGCGGGTACGGAGTGCAGAGTCACAGACCTGCAGGAGGCGGACGGAGGCAGGGAGGGTCCCTCCCCGCCAGGAGCCAGGAGGAGAGGGGAGGTGCTGGCCGGTCCGGGCCAGGCTACTGCGTCCTGCGTGCTGTCCCCGAGGCTGCCGCGGCAGTGCGTGAGGCGGGTTCCTGTTACTTGAAGTCCCTCAGTGTAAACCACAGCGATTTCCTTTATATCTGACCGTCCACGCCTCCCCCCTCCCGCCTTCCTGCACACGGCCCAGCCCTTGCAGGCGGCGGCCTTGGGGGGCGGGGGGCACGGTTCTCCTTCGGCGCTCGACCGTCTTCTGGGAAGGAGTTCGTCTGGGGTCTTGGTCACTTGGAAACTGATATTTATTGATGTGTCAACTGCCAACGCGTACGTCCCGTCCTAAGGTTTCTGAAAGGATGCTTGTTCTCGCTGCTCAGAAGTTTAGGAGCTGCTCGGCGAGGGCGGTTCTCCGCCGCAGCAACGCCCGGCTGCGGGGCGCGGGGCGCGGGGCGCGGGGCGCGGGCCTGGCTGTGTGCGAGGGGCAGGACGGAGGCCCGGCTGCGGGAATAAAGCGGGTTTGGGAAAGCACCTCGCCACTCAGCATGCTCCTGCGACCTGAGCCTGGAGCGTGCGTCCTCGCCCACGCAGGTCGCGCGGTTTGGCCGCCGGCTTACAGCCTTTGCACGGTCCTGAACCGTGTCCTCTGTGCTCCGAGTGCGGGGAGGCCCCGGGCCTGAGCGCAGAGGCTCCCCGGCCCCG